GTCTAATACTGATCTGCTTTTGTGGTTATATCGTGACGCGGCGTGTAATACTGATCTGTTTTTGTGGTTCTATCGTAACGCGGCGTCTAATACTGATCTGCTTTTGTGGTTATATCGTAACGTGGCGTCTAATACTGATCTGCTTTTGTGGTTCTATCGTAACATGGCGTTTAATACTGATCTGTTTTTGTGGTTATATCGTGACATAGCGTGTAATACTGATCTACTTTTGTGGTTATATCGTAACGTGGCGTGTAATACTGATCTGCTTTTGTGGTTATATCGTAACGTGGCGTGTAATACTGATCTGCTTTTGTGGTTCTATCGTAACATGGCGTCTAATACTGATCTGTTTTTGTGGTTATATCGTAACATGGCGTCTAATACTGATCTACTTTTGTGGTTCTATCGTAACATGGCGTCTAATACTGATCTGTTTTTGTGATTATATCGTAACATGACGTCTAATACTGATCTGTTTTTGTGGTTATATCGTAACGCGGCGTCTAATACTGATCTGCTTTTGTGGTTATATCGTAACATGGCGTCTAATACTGATCTGTTTTTGTGGTTATATCGTAATATGGCGTCTAATACTGATCTGCTTTTGTGGTTATATCGTAACGCGGCGTCTAATACTGATCTGTTTTTGTGGTTATATCGTGACGTGGCGTGTAATACTGATCTGCTTTTGTGGTTCTATCGTAACGCGGCGTGTAGTACTGATCTGCTTTTGTGGTTATGTCGTGATGTGGCGTGTAATACTGATCTGCTTTTGTGGTTCTATCGTAACGCGGCGTGTAGTACTGATCTGCTTTTGTGGTTATATCGTGATGTGGCGTGTAATACTGATCTGCTTTTGTGGTTAAATCGTAACGCGGCGTGTAATACTCATCTGCTTTTGTGGTTATATCGTAACGTGGCGTGTAATACTGATCTGTTTTTGTGGTTCTATCGTAACATGGCGTCTAATACTGATCTGTTTTTGTGGTTATATCGTAACATGGCGTCTAATACTGATCTGCTTTTGTGGTTATATCGTGACGCGGCGTGTAATACTGATCTGCTTTTGTGGTTATATCGTAACGCGGCGTCTAATACTGATCTGTTTTTGTGGTTATATCGTGACGCGGCGTGTAATACTGATCTGCTTTTGTGGTTATATCGTAACGCGGCGTCTAATACTGATCTGCTTTTGTGGTTATATCGTGACGCGGCGTGTAATACTGATCTGTTTTTGTGGTTCTATCGTAACGCGGCGTCTAATACTGATCTGCTTTTGTGGTTATATCGTAACGTGGCGTCTAATACTGATCTGCTTTTGTGGTTCTATCGTAACATGGCGTCTAATACTGATCTGTTTTTGTGGTTATATCGTGACATAGCGTGTAATACTGATCTACTTTTGTGGTTATATCGTAACGTGGCGTGTAATACTGATCTGTTTTTGTGGTTATATCGTAACGTGGCGTGTAATACTGATCTGTTTTTGTGGTTATATCGTAGCATGGCGTCTAATACTGATCTGCTTTTGTGGTTATATCGTAACGTGGCGTGTAATACTGATCTGTTTTTGTGGTTCTATCGTAACATGGCGTCTAATACTGATCTGTTTTTGTGGTTATATCGTAACGCGGCGTCTAATACTGATCTGCTTTTGTGGTTATATCGTAACGCGGCGTCTAATACTGATTTGCTATTGTGTTTATATCGTAACAATAAGATACAATAAGACCGTTATTTTACAGGATTACTTAATGTAGTCGGAGTTACGTAACAATAGACGAGGAGGCGTCGTTATTTTTTTTATTTATAGAAGAGGGGGCAAACGAGCATGCGGCTCACCTGATGGTAAGTGACTACCACCGCCCATGAACAACCGCAACACCAGTGGAATCGCAGATGCATTGCCGGCCTTTTAGGAAGGTGTAAGCTCTTTTCTTGAAGGTCCCTAAGTCGTATCGGTCCGGAAAATCGCCGGTGGTAAACAATTCCCTGTGGAATTGTTTGAAGTTGGACGAGGAAGAAAACTCCAAGTAAACACACAGTCGTGGACCGCCAAGCGTCCAGATGGTGAGGATGGTATCATGAATTTTGACGCAATATGCGTTCGTGAAATTTGGCGGCTGGAATTAATCCAAACAATTCCTTAGAGCACTCCTATTAGTATTATGGGTTCGGATTCTCAATAAAATGTTTTCTTGATAATAAATCTTTTATTTAGTAACTATGCACATTCACGGTAAGAAGTTCTACAGTTCTACGAAGCAACAACGCCATCTGGCTGCCAATAAAAAAATATAAATGAATGCGTTCAGATTTAAATTTTCTTTTTCTAAATTTAACACTCCCACTAAAATTTAAATCTCTTAACTAATTATCTGATCCCTTATATAAGTAAAAGTTTAAGTGGGCAATGCCTTAGTCAATATATCTGCTAATTGATCTTTACTAGGAACATAATTAATTTTAATCATGCCCAACTCAACTTTTTCTCTATAATAGTATTAATAAATAAAATAGTATTTAACATCTATGTGCTTCGTTCTTTTATGATAAACAGGATTGTTTATTAGTTTTATCGCACTTTGATTATCAATAAACATAGTTACACATTTACAATTTTCACCTAAATCTAACATTAATTGCCGCAGCCATATCATTTATTTTGCTGTTTCACATGCAGCTACAAATTCTGCCTCAGTAGTGGAGAGAGCAATGGTCTTTTGTGTTTGGCTGGACCAAGTAATTGGTCCACCGTTCATCATAAAAATATAGCCTGTTGTTGACTTACGTGTATCGACATCACTTGCATAATCAGAATCAGAGTAACCTATTAAGCCATCACTTTCTCCATACTTTATACACAAATCTTTAGTATTAATTAAGTATCTAACTATACGTTTGACAGCATTTCCATGTTGCTGACTAGGATTGTTTACATATCTGCTTAATACATTCACAGCAAATGATATGTCAGGTCTAGAAACAGAACACAAAAATAATAAAGAACCAATAAGTTCCCTATGTGGAAAATTAATAATGTTTTCATCCTCATTCTTTGTCATAATTATATTGACATCTGCTGGAGTACTAGTTGGAGTTGCATTTGTCATACAAAATCTCTCAATAATTTGTTCTATATAATCTCTTTGGTGAATATGGATACAATTATTTATTCTCTCAATTTCCATACCAACAAAATATCTCAATGGCATCACTTTTATTTTAAAAGCTTGTTTCAAATATTCTATAATTTCTTGGATCAGTTGTTTACTAGAAGATATTACAAGGGCATCATCAACATAAATAATTAAAATTACTTTAATCTTATTGAAAACCCCTATAAAAATACAATTACCAGCCTGAGATTGTACAAAACCATATTTCATTAAAAACTCAGTGAACCTTTTGTTCCAACAACGAGAGGCCTGTTTCAACCCATACAAAGATTTATTTAATTTTAACACATAACTTTTATCTAAAATTACACCCTCAGGCACTTCTATAAAAATATTTTCCTCAAGATACCCATTAAGAAAAGCAGTCTTTACATCAAACTGTTGAATTTCTAACTTATACTTTGCTGCAATAGAAAGAATAATTCTTATAGAGTCATACCTAGTAGTTGGAGAAAATATTTCTTGGTAGTCCACATCTTTAATCTGAGTAAACCCTCGTGCACACAGACGAGCCTTGTACCGTGTCTGATTATCTTCATTCTTCTTGATTGCGAAGACCCACTTGGTAGTAAGGGTCCGCTGACCAGCTCTTGTTACCACACTCCATGTGTTGTTCTCTTCATGTGCAGATAATTCTTCCCTAATGGCTTGAAACCATTCATTTTTCTGTGGACTTTGTATGGCTTCATCATATGTCTGAGGTAATGACAATTCAACAAGGTTAGCTTCAAAACGTCTATTATTTCTTGGCCTCAAATTTATGTTACACTGTGGCACATCTTCTATTTCTTGAGACGGCTCATATGTAGGATCATCACTGTTGCAACTCAATAAGGTGTCATCAGATTGTAATGCTACAGTTTCCATTAGTGTTTCATCCACATTTCTTGCTTCAGTTTCATCATTTTGTATCTTATCTTCATTTTCATCAGTTATACATATCTGATTAATATTCTTTCTTATTGCTGGAGTTTGATGTTCATCAAAAATCACATTTCTTGAAATTTTGATTGACTTATTATTTACATCATACATTCTGTAATTGGTATTATCATAGCCAACAAGCATCATTTTTTTACTCTTCTTTTCTAATTTAGTTCTCAATTGATCTGGAACATGTACATATCCAACGCTGCCAAACACCTTCAAATGACCTAATTGTGGTTTGATACCATTCCATAATTCATATGGTGTTTTACCCGGAGTCTGGCTTGAAGAAGTTCTGTTCAATATGTAAACTGCACAGCTCACCGCTTCAGCCCACAGCTCCAGTGGAACATCTCTTGCATACAACATGGAGCGAGCACTTTCTACTATAGTTCTATTTTCTCTTTCTGCTCGTCCATTTTGTTCTGGTGAATAAGGAGCAGTTAGCTCATGTACTATCCCCTCTTTGTCCAAATATTCCTTGAAAACTTTGTTTACATACTTTCTACCATTATCAGTATGTAATATTCTTATACTGTGCATGTATTTATTCTTCACAATACTATTATATTTCTTAAACATTTCCATAACATCACTTTTGTTTTTTATGAAATATACATGCCTGTAACTAGTTACAGCATCTTTGAACAAGACAAAATATCTCATTCCTTGAACTGATGTGCAAGACATTGGTCCACAGACATCACTGTACACTAAGTCTCCAGGTTGTAGTTCTCCTCGTACAGATTTGTAAAATGGAAACCTGCACTGCTTTCCGTATGCACATGCCTCACATACAAAATTGTTTTTATCATTTTCATTAATTTCCAAACCTGTAACAACATTATTTGCACACATACTCTTAATTTATTTTAGGTTTAGATGTCCCAGTCACTCATGCCACATTTTGATATCACTTTGATTATTCTGGACCAAGTTGCAAGTATCTGGAGTGATTGCTTTTATATTAAGCTCATATAAATTATTTTCTCTGATCCTGGCACTCATAACCACTTGATTATCTTTATAGATCACTGCAATTGAATCTTTCTTTATAATAGTGTAATCTCTTCTTATTATGGCACCTTCTGAGAATAAGTTTCTTCGCAGACTTGGGACATACAACACATCAAGTAGTTCACTGGATTCCCACTGTCCATTTATATATCTTTTTATCAACACTTTACCAATGCCACACACTTCTACAGACTGTTTGTTTCCTAAAGTTAATATCTTCTGACTGCATTCAACCAGTTCCATAAAGAATTCCTTTCTATAAGTCATATGTGCAGAGGCTCCACTGTCTAGAATCCAAGTATTCTCTTCTGTGCTAGACGCGTTATTCTCTACATAAAACGCTAACATATCTGCACCTTCTTGTTGAGGTTTTCTTGACTTAAATTTTCTTGGAGCACGACATTCTCTAGCAAAGTGTCCTCGCTTTCCAAAGTTATAACATTCAAACCTGTGTTTGGTATTTTTATTTTGATTTACTCTACTTTGCATCGGCTCACTTTGTTTTGATTTCAACTTCCATCCTTTATTAGCAACAAGGAGAGCTGTTTCTTGTTCTTCTTCGCCTACTAAACTTGCTTCTTCATCTAAGAGGCGAGCAGTTAAATTCACAATAGTCTGTTGTTTTGAATCCAATGACATCCACGCTTGGCGCAGTGATCTGTACTTAGGTGGCAATGTTCCTAAAATTTTTGTTATGATGGCCATGTCACTGACAGTCTCACCACTCTCTTTTAGTTGTTTAGCCAGGGATTCCACCTTTGAGATATGTTGAGCTACACTGTCACCCGGCAACATTTTATACTGATAAAACTTTTCATGGACTAGCATTTTACACAACTCACTCTTTTGTTCGTATACTGATTCAAGTTTTGTCATTATTTCCTTGGCAGTCTCACAATTCTCTATTAATGTTATTTGTTTGAAATCCATTGACGAAGTCATGATGAACATTGCCATACCATCATTTTTCGACCATTCAGCACTGTTTTGTTCCGTTCTTGGCACTGTGATATCAATTCCTTTTGCCTTTAAAGCGCATTTTATCTGGAATTTCCACTGGCGAAAATTATTTCCATCAAATTTCTCGAGATTCATTGACCGCGTGGTATCCATTTTTAGGTTATTTGTCAATGAATATTCCGTACTCTTCCGTAGCTGTTGTAATATGTTTCTTTACCTTTCCTTTCTATTAACAGTGTCCTGGGCCCATAACCTATTAGGATTATGGGTTCGGATTCTCAATAAAATGTTTTCTTGATAATAAATCTTTTATTTATTATCTATGCACATTCACGGTAAGAAGTTCTACAGTTCTACGAAGCAACAACGCCATCTGGCTGCCAATAAAAAAATATAAATGAATGCGTTCAGATTTAAATTTTCTTTTTCTAAATTTAACAACTCTCCGTGGTAAATTCGATAGAAAATGCAAAGGGATGCAACATCCCTACGCAATGTCAGTGTATCGAGCCGATCAGAAAGAACTCGGTCGTCGACGATTCGAACCGCTCTGCGCTGGATGCGGTCAAGTGGAAGGAGCTAGCACTGGGGTGCCCTGGCCCAGGGATGAGAACAGTATTCCATGTGAGGCCGGATTTGCGCTTTGTAAAGTTGCAAGCGATGTGCCGGCATAAAATACTGTCTCGCTCTGCTGAGCACGCCAAGCTTTTTAGAGGCCAGGATTCCGATACTAGCTGAGGCAGCAAGAGGAGTGCCTTGAAACTGAGAAGATACGACAAAGGGGTTCTTTTTAGCGGTAAACGCGCAAACTTGTGTCTTCTGGGGATTGAACTGGACTAGATTTAGTCGCCCCCAATCGGAGACTTTGTTCAGCAAAGACTCGACTTCAGACACAAGTTTGTCCCGGTACTCGGCGACGTTTTCCCGAGAAATTTTGGCACGCTCGGTATATAAGGCATCACCAGTGCTGTCGTCCGCATAGCCATGAATGTTACCAGCTTGCAACATATCATTGATATGCAGGAGAAACAGCGTTAGTGATAGCACGCAACCTTGTTGAACACCAGCGTTGATAGGCTTGAGATCAGAGCATGCACCGTCTACTACGACCTTGATGCTCCGATCATGAAGGAAACTGGTGATCCATTTGCACAATTTCTCGGGAAGTCCATAGGAAGAAAGCTTCGAAAGAAGCGCTTTGTACCAGACCCGATCAAAAGCCTTCGCTATGTCCAAACTAACGGCCAATGCCTGCCTCTTGGACTCTACTGCCTCCGCGCATCTATGAGTCAGGTAGATCAGAAGATCACCAGCTGATCAATCCCGACGAAAACCGTACTGGCGGTCACTAATCAGCTGGTGATCCTCAAGGTAACGCAAGAGCTGGCAGTTCATAATGGATTCCATTATTTTGGGGAACAAGAAGGTGATGACAATAGGCCTGTAGTTGGACGGGTCCGAGCGGTCGCCTTTTTAGGGATCGGGTGGACCATAGCTGTCTTTTTTATAGGATAAGGGTGACAAACGAGCACACAGTTCACCTGATGGTAAGTGGTTGCTGCGACCCATAGACATCTACATCTATCCTCTATTACAAATCAAAATGCAGATGCGTTTTCACCCGTGAGGACTAGGATGGAATGCCTCATTTCCAGTTAAAAGGGCCTCCGGCCACCTGCACCACACCAAGCAAAACGCGTGAGGTCGTGGTACCACCCCGGTTCGAGCCGGCCCAACTACCGCTGTTAAAAAAAAGTCGAAGTCTTCCATGAATTCGGGACTACGCCTTGGGAGTAGAAGTACCGGGAAAGACGCATTAAAACCGATGCCAACTCCGGAGCACACGTCTTCAGCACAATGGGAGGAACTCCATCAGGCCCACTCGACTTGCTGACGTCAAGGGAGAAGAGTGCTTTACGAACCGAGCGCTATGTAAATCGCACATCCGGCATGAAGTACTCACACCGCGGGATGGTCGGCGGTGTGTTCCCCCCGTCATCTAGAGTCGAAGTCGAAGTCGCCTATACAAGTATATCGTTCGTACGATAATGCGGCTAATGTGTTGAACTTTGAGTGTATTATTGGTAAAGTGGAGTCTTTTGATGGCTATAAAACGTTGTGTGCCGTATACAGGATGCCGAGTCTAAATAAGAGTTTCTTTATCTAAACTATCGCAACTATTTTACGGACTTCCAGTAAAATATAACTGTTTTTTAATTGGTGATTTAAACATAAATATCGAAAACTCTAATGATTCTATTGTTCAACATTATCTTAACTCGTTGTATGAACTGGGTCATAATGCTGCATTACTCAGTTTACTACAAAAAAGAGCAATTGGTGTATATATATTTTATAAAGTGAAACTAGTCCGTACTGGTTTACATAATGATTTCTTATATTTACGCGAACACTACACATTGAATAAAACTATTTTTTACGGATTTTATCACGTTTAATTTAATATTTTGATACCCGAGTTTCGGGTGATTTACAGCAACCCATGGTCACGGGGGGACTGAGATGTTTGACGTCCGGATGTCACAGTTACAATTAGCCCGGCTGCCTTCAGTTTTTTAATTTTAATTTTTGGTTCGATTTACACAGAATAAACTTACAGTATCTTGAAGTTTTGCAGTGGTATGCTTGGGCTTGGATTCAATTTTGTTAATTATAGGATCCCAAGCAGATGGCAGCACCCATCCATCTTCTATATTGAAATTAGGATGTTTTTTTTAATTTCAATAGTCTCGCATATCATTCCTTGGTAGGAATCGGTGTACTTTTGCGAGGATTTGTTGTCTATCATCTAATGTAATGGCGGGGACGATCTTGAACGTCGCTGGGAAGTCAGCAGTCTGTGAAAATCTGATTACTGTGAACATAATATGAGTCTATTATAAAAAAGAAGTAGACTAAATTTTGTTCGTAATCTGTCGTATTTTCCTCTGTATAAACTGCCAAAAGTGAATAATGAATAGGGTAAAAGAGTCTGGGCGAACGCTCTTCCAAGCATTCTGAATAAATTGCCTAAGGAAATAGTCAAACCATAAGAAAACAAAACGTCTCGACAAATTATAAACATTTTAAAAGTATACAATACCGTTAAAAAATTTAGAATGGGGGAGCGGCCTACGTGTGGTCGCACATAGTTTTCAGGATAATAGCAAAAAAAAACTGATTTTAATGTGGTTTTCAGATAGACCAACTACTTACTAAAGACCACTATTGTAGATCTGCCGGATTTTTTGTTTAAGTTCTACGCAGGCGACAAAGTGGATAAAAGTTATTAAACATTGATTTAAGAAGTACAATGCCAGTACCAGTTTGTCACTTATATATTCATAGAAGGTGTTACTCGTATGCTTGATCAAGCGGTTAATGATTTGGCGAGTATAAAATCTAGAAGATTCTCCTACAAGCAATATAATATATTTTTAAGCACTAAAATGCGTAAGATAATGCTAGAAGCTTTGTCTAATAATAAGTACCTATTTATTTTATATGATAGTGAAGAGATAATATATAACAGTTAATTATATTATATACCTTAAATTTTCATCTCAATATTTGTATAACTGCATATTTTAACTATGCGTTTCAGTCATCTTATCTACCTGAAATGATTTAAAATAAAATTAATAAACTTATTTATCACACAAGACAAACATTTATGACAGACAGACACACAGACAAACACCGAGGTGAATAAGTGCATTGTTTTGATAACGTTTGCGTATTACTAACTTGGACCTCGGTTTACCAAGCACGCAAGTTAGGGTGCGGGAAATAGGTATATTACTTTATTAATATGTTTTTTTTTAATCTGGGCAGATATAAAAAGGAGGATGAATTTGCAAGTGTAAATACTAGGTGTGCCCGAGACTTCGCGTGAAATCTAAATTGTTGCAGCATGTAAAAGCTCAGTTTTTGGAAACAAATGCTACATACTATAAAAAATTAATAACAAAATTGCATCTGGTATCAGGAAGTTATCTTTTCTTTATGAAGGCGCTAAAATCATGGCTTCTTGATAAATGTTTGTTTAGTGTAATTACCAACTAGCGATCTGCCTGGATCTGGATCTCGATAACAGCTTCACCTACCGGGTCCAATTGAGAATCTACACCATCCAAGGAGACTCAGCAATTTATTTTTAATTTATACTTTATAATTAGGTAAACTAAGGTAAAGTTACTTTCTGTTCATTCATTTTCATGGAAATTTTCATAATCATAATTATAACCATTTATTTCGTGGATCATAGGTATTACATAGATGTTAGATACATCATTATATATAAATTTAAATTAAAGATTTAAACTTCGATAAAATGAATTTAGAGTTAAGTAATATGATGTAATTATTAAAATAATTACAGTTTATCTAATTAATATATTATTTAATATTAATGATGTAATAAAAGTATAATAATTCAATAAATCCTTTGTGAACAATTTATTGAATTAGAATTTAAGATTTCTTCGCATTTAGGTAATTCGGTATATGTATTTAATTGTACGTAATATTCGATTTAATAAGAATCGAAATAACTTTAAAGTGTAATTTTGGCTTAGTAAATAGTATTTATTTTGATTTTTGCATTCTACATTATTGAACATTTTAAGGCGCGTTTCCACCGAAATTGTTGGCAACTTTTGTGTTTCCGTTTGTAACTCAAAAAACATCACCATCTTAATTTCCATTATGTCCACACCGAACACTGAATTAAAACCAGTCGCCACCAGTTGTGTCCACCAAAGTTTTGTTGGCAAAATGTCTTCAAACGACGATATTATGCAGGCAGATATTTTTCCATGCAACGTTGTTCATGTTTAAAGTTAAAGTTACAGCCTATACACGTCCAACTGCTGGGCACAGGCCTTCTCTCATTTCTGAGAGGGTTTTAGAGCAAGGAAATGTTCACCGCGCTGCCCAAATACGTGTTGGCGAACTTCACATGTCTTCGAAATATTTTTTATCTTATTTCACAGAGATGCAGGTTTATCATTTTATTTTTTATTTAACTTTATTCATACTATCAATTTTTTTATTTTGAAATTATATTCTTTAAGTGCTAACAATTTTCTATTTTTATAAAATTTATTACCTCCATCTTCGATTGCTCGTACCATCTGTATGCCGATGACCTTCAGCTATACGTGCAAGCTGAAATAGATCCCCTATTTCAGCTTGCACGTCCATAATGGGATTAAAAAATTAAATAACAACTTATCAGCTCCAAGGGTTGGTCTACTCGTTATGAAGTGTTGGTCAATCCTTCAAAATGCCAAGCTATACTGGTGGGTAGCTCAAGGATGCTAGCCAACATTAATCTTGCAGACATACCCCTATCTCTACTCTCTCTCTACTATCTCTATATCTACTACAATGGGATTACATAACCGTTCAGTAAGTCTGTAAAAAATCTTGGCCTACACATTGACAGCACGCTGAATTGGAGAACTTAGGTTACTGAGGTCAGTCGTAAAGTCACTGCTACGTTATGTTCTCTGTATCGTTTCTTCTTATCTTAAGAGTAAATTTCATTATCTCTCCTCATCTCATGATAGGGTTCTACGTTCTTCTTCTAACAACAAAATATGTATTCCAGTTCACTTCCCCGAGTTCTATGGTAACTCCTTTACAGTTCAGGTTGCACGCCTTTGAAACTCCTTGCCTGACGACATCAGAAAAGCTAAGTTAGCTTTTAAAAAGTTGGTGCGTAATCATCTGTTAAAGACAACGCTTCTTACATGAATCATCCATGTCATTTATATTTTAGACGTATATATTTATAGTTATTTATATGTACAATTTGTGTATGTATGTTGGTATGAATATATGAATGCTTATGTATGTACGTATATATTTGTATACATGTATAAATAGGATATATTGTTATAGTTTATTTATTGTATATATTAGTAAAATATATATATAACGTAATTAATTATCATTTCTATTTTGTTTTTATTCTATATTGCTACACCTACTTCAAATTCTCACCACTCCATTGGTTGACTGGTAAAGAATGCCACAAGGCATTAAGTCCGCCCTTTGTATTCTTTTAGATTAAGGAATGCAATAAAGAATAAATAAATAAATAAATTAATTTTAATAATGAACGAAATTACGAATATGTACAAAAGTCTACCCCGTGTCATCCCGAGGGTTATGTAGGAGGCGACAGAGGGAAGCAAATCAGATAGGCAGCAGCGTTTTCCTAACTACGACTAAAATTTAAAAAAAAACTGCGGTTGCCAAGCGTGGCAACTATGGCAAATATCTAAAGCAATCCATATGGTGGCCTATGTTCAGCTGTGGATTTTAACAGGTTGTAACGGTAACGGTACAAACTACCGTCTTTAATTAAAGTCACTAGCCACGAAGGATCATTTAATGCATTGTTCAACTCTAAAGTTATTATTAACCTACAAAAAACCAGTGTTGGAGCTTGCCTTCCTTAGGACCAGTGGAGTAGCGTGCCTTAGGCCCCTCTAAGGCACGCTACTCCACTGGTCCTAATGTCCATGTGTCAAAATTTGTCGGGAGGCCCAAATGAAGGGTAAATATTTTTCACAAAAGGAACAAAAACTCTCGCATTGAATTAAAATAATTATATATTGATTATAAGTTATTACTTACAATTAATACTCCTAGGAACTAAGCTAGCGAAACAATTCAAACCAACATCCTGTCCTATAGAAATCCTTAGAATGTTTGCTTACACACGTTCATTTATCGGTTAATTTATCATTGATACTACTGGTACGGCGGTAGCTACGCCCCTGCTTAGGGTATAGTTGCCTATTACACTATTTGAGCTGGACGCGATTCTATCCATAGATATCCTCCACAGATTCGTCGTAGGCTTACAGTCAGTCAGATTGCTGATTTTAGTACTCATAAGGTTACTATTGGAAATTGAACTGATTTAAATATTAGATACTATATGAAAACTCCAAAGTTATTTTAAAACTACCTGGATTGATGGTTTAAAAGAATTTGGATTAAATATAGAACAAACAATATCCAATAAACCTTAGAATAACATGAATATATAATATTCCACGAAAATAATTTTTATTACGTAGTATACTTTAATTCTAGTATAATTTCTATCTCAATCAATTCTGCCTCGAGCGGGGAATAACCTCGCCTTAACCAACATATATAGTCGCAAATGCATACTCGTAAACAGTATAAGAGGCAAGCATTTTGTGCAGTTCAACTCGGCAGCTTCCAAAGAACGTTTCAAATCGCAATCATATTTTTATCAGTATCGCTAAATAAAGTTTATACAACAGTTTTGTGCGCGACGGTAACTGTGGGAATGTTCTTATTATGATTTTATAAACGTGATAAACGTTGGATGTAATAAACGTGTGTTTATATTGATAAGTGGAAAGACTTATAAGGATTTGCATGGTTATAAGTTTTGAATATATTTACTTCGTTAATATTTATTTTAGTGAATATAGATTTATGACGTATATTTATTGAAGAGTTGTTAAGGTAAGGTCTAAAGTTTTATTTAACTAAAATATACCTAAATGTGATTATTTAACAAAATATAATAAATAGATTTTTATTAGAAAAAGCTATAAAAATTACGTCATAATAGGTATTTCCGTGTGTATAAAACTCAGAAGCTAAATTGGTAAGGTGGATATTTTATTTTAACTAGACTTTATTTTATATCATATCACAATCTTCAATCGGTGTTTTTCTTCATAGAATTAAAATGCTTTGAGCGGGATATATGTACCGCTTTAACTAGTCCTCAAAGTTTAAATTATTTAAGATTTTATTCTTAATAATATAAACAACTCTAGTCAATGCTGTTGATATTTGATCGAATCTTCAAGTTATGTTTTAAAGTTGTGAAGTAAAATATCGTGAGTGAACCTCAATTTTGGGGAAATCAATAATGCTTAGAGAATTTAATAAGACGAACTTTATTTATACATAAAGTTTTTTTTTATTTATACATAAAGTTCGCCCCCTCACGAATTAGCGCGAAATCTTTCTCTCGTAAGCTCTCCCAGAATTGTTAGGAGTCTGGGCCCCTATGCATATTACTTCGGTAGCTAGAATAAAATGTTTACTCTGCCATAATATAATAACTAAAAAAATGTGAAAAATGTGCAAAAATGATCAATACTTAGTATATACTTTAACATATACTTGCTTAACAAACTATATAATTTATATCAGAGATTTTTATTTTCACGTCCCTTTTACTTTTCGATTACATGATTTTGTTTTTAAATATCTAATGCCATATTACATTCATAAAAAACTAAATCATATTTATGATGTAACTTGTACGTAGGTCAATGTTAGTTTACTCGTATGTTTGAGATAACAATAGCTAGCTCATTAATATAAAGACCGAAAGATTCAAGTAATTCAATTTATATAAACTTATAATTAATAAAAACATATTTTTCTTTTCAGTAAAGAAAGTGGAGTTTATCACAATGTTCCTAATTGCGCTCGTTTTTTCGACGATATATGGCATCACTATTGGCGTGCCAGCAATATTACCTGGTAGTTAACGTTTAAATTTATATAATACGTATTTATGACTGACAGAAGACCTCAAATACATTAATGGCATTAAGACAACTGCGCAAGATCTACGCATTGCAAAAGGCAACTGCATGTAGAGGCGTAGGCCATTACACGCATTGAAAATATAAAAAGCAACTATATGAAATATCACACATTGTAAGAAAGGCATCACACCTAAGAGATTTAAAATATACACTAACTACTTAAATGTCTTTGCATCACACAAATTGTAACCGTCATTAAGTCTTCTCGGACGGATGGATTTCCGCGTGACACGGCTCACCACTCGCAACGAAAGCTTATGTATGAACTTTATAATTTATTTTGTATATTAAACTACCACAGAATAAATAATAGTACAAAAAAAATTAAGGTTTAAAGCTGTTTTTAATTCGTATACGGACCACTTTTTATTTTGCAATATTGTACATCCCATTAATAGTTTCGTTGACTTTATTTTACGTAAATAAAACGTGTATAGTATAAGTTAAAATAAAAGAGTTTTGATGAATACTAATGCTTATAAAAGACAGAATCAATTAATTATGCCATATTTTGTACAAAAAGAGTAATATAGACATCAGGAGATGGTCAGAGGAAGGTCAAAGTGCTTGTTAAATTGAATTATTTTCGAGACGACATACTTATTTCTTTCTTCTCAACTTAATATAAAAAGTATATGCTCTAAAATATAAATTTTTTAAATAACTACTGCTACAAATAATTTTTTATTATTATTTCTTGAGCCAGCCGAAAACGAAGTAATGACCCATAACTTTCCATTCGTGACGAGGTTGGAATGGGGAGCGAGAACACCGATACAGAAGTCATCGCTGCCAATTCCTGTGCCTTATGTCGTGATCCATCACTCGTACACTCCTCCCGCCTGCTATGAATCAGCGCAGTGCGAAAATGCTATGCGGTGTATGCAAGATTTGCATATGGACTGCAGAGGATGGTGGGATATAGGATACAAGTAAGTTTTTACGAAAAATAATATCACTATTTCAGCCGAGCTACAGTAGACTAATGTAGGTAGGGTTCATGCTGTAGCTCGTGGGTTCGAATCCATCATTCGACTATTGTTATGAACATCTCTTAAATATTCAAAGCTTGACAGCGGTGGTTAAACGTTAATAACAGCAATGTTAAGAGTATTACTGTGTAGTAGAGACGTAAGAACTTCCACTATCCCATATCATCACGTGAGACGTTTAAGGTTCAGCATTCATTCACCATCAGGCGGACTGTGTGCTCGTTTGTTATCACTATTGCTCTATGAAAAAGAGGTTCATAACCCAGTCGGTGACACGTCCTTGTCGGCGATATCAGTATATAAAAAATAAAATCTATGACGCTTCATGTTAATATTTCATGTTCATGTTTCTAACGCGTGACGCTGCTTGCCGATAACACTCAGACATCTATGAAAGATAAAATGGATCATTATTTATCAGTTTCAATATAGTACCGTTATATTTTAGTGTAGGCATGGGAGAATCTATTGACACATCTGACAAATTTACGAACACGACATAGTTTTGGATATGCTTATTACTGACAAGATTTTTTTATAGTTCGCTTGATGGTAAGTGGCTACTGCAGTCCATGGACACTTGCAACCAATCTCAAGCAAAGAAGGCCACACATATGTATTGTCACCTCCGAGGACCAAGATGGAATTTCGCACAGCCTGTAATTGAACTGGCTCTCTACACTCTTCAGATCGGATTACAGTAGTACGGGTAATGCTAATTAGCGGCAAAATTGGTAACAGGATTTATCCCGACGGACTAGGCAGAAACGTCCTACCGCCTAGTGAAGACATAATTGTGTTTTGGAATAAAGCTCATACTGTGAACCATAATTTTCCATATCTGTTGCACTTGTAAAAATGAAGTATATGTACACATAAGCAAGAATTCGAAGATATAATGAATCAAATTTACTTTCTCCTAATATATTTTATTTATCAAAAAAAAATCCTCTCAGAAAATAGAGGCGGCCTGTGCCCAGTATATATGCTGCAACTTAACTTTAACTTTAATCAAAAATAATTTAGGGTGATTTATTCGCAAAAGTCACGCTAAAGCGTTATCACTTTACAATATAAGGATGTCAACTTCAGGGCAAAAAAACTGTCAGTCGTAGGACTCCACGTCAGAAGTGAAAACTTCTTAATATTAAGTTCATAAAATTGTGAACATTATTTTTGGGTGGTTAAGAAATAGGTATATTTTTAGGAAATATTTTATTAAAAATTATTTTCATCAACGTATTAACATACAGTATATAAAATTTTCAGTTTTTCAAAACTTGGAAAATATTGATTATCTATATAATAAAAACAAATAAATAAATACATCTGTATATTTAAGTATCTGTGCGTGACGGCCACGTGAGTTCAAGGCTTTTTCCCCATCCCAAAAGTGCCCAACGTGCCTAAAAAAGTTTTCACTTGAAAACCCGGCACATCACATATTTAAAACAAGATTTTTAGGAAGTAAGCACATCAGATAAAGGTTATCTCGATTAATTGCAGTAAATCAACTTGGACGTCGGAAATGGAAATGTTTAATGTTTCTTGCTGCTTTAGTACGGACTAGTTTGCGTCAGGAGTTCTTACAATGAATTTAATTCACAAGTTTCCTCTCAATGTTTTCCTTTACCGCACACAAATCGGCAATATTTCAATTTGAGTGATATTGCTGTCAAATTAGATAACGCTGCACTATTTAAGTTCTAATTAAAACAAATAGATTAACTAGGAATTGTTTGACAACAAAATCTTGAAAATTAGATATTTTCAAGATTTTGGTATCAAAACGACTGGGATATTATAATCTATGATTATTATTGACGTGCCTAAAGAAGTTTTCATTTGAGAACCCGGCACATCACATACTTAAAACAAGATTTTGAGGAAGTAAGCATTTCAGATAAAGGTTATCTAGATTAATTGCAGTAAATCAACTTGGACGTCGGAAACGGAAATGTTTAACGTTTCTGGTTGCTTTAGTAAGGACTAGTTTGTGTCAGGAGTTCTCACAATGAATTTAATTCACAAGTTTCCTCCCAGTGTTTTCCTTTACCACCAATCACACAAATCAACAGTATTTCAATTTGAGTGATGTTGCTGTCAAATTAAATAACGCTACACTATTTAAGCCCTAATTAAAACGTATAGATTTACTAGGAATTGTTTGACACCAAAATCTTGAAAATGAGATATTTTCAAGATTTTGGTGTCAAAAAGGCCGGAATATTATAATCTAGATTATAATGACTGACTTTATTGCTAAAATGTTAACAAATATTGTGTATCCTTGAACGCTTTAGTATAGTGGCGGGTAAGAATACTCACTACCCCATATCTTCCCGTGGGTGTCGTAAGAAGAGAGAAACTGAGGCAGAGAATAGGCAGCAGCATCTTTCTGATAACAGCAAAAAATCAATAAAAAAACTGCGGTTTCCAACCCGCTCACAATGCGTGCCAACTATGGCAATATACCCCCCATGAAAGTAACGAAGAGACGGCCCCCAGTCCCCGGCGGTCCCGCTATTCCTGGCTACGGTGGCGACCATGGTAACGGCAGGGCAGGGGGTGCTAAGAATCTCCGGTGGAGGTTCGGTTGCCACCTACGACGACTCGAACTGGCAACTTATAATGCACGCACCCTGAGGACTGACGAGAAAATACTGGGGCTGGAAGAAGAGATAGACATGCTGCGATGGAATATCATAGGATTATCCGAGGTCCGAAGAGAGGGGGAGGACACGGTAATCCTCGAATCCGGCAACTTTTTCTGTCACTGAGAGGGCGACCAGCTGTCCCAAGGAGGTGTCGGATTTATCGTCCACAAGTCTCTCGTTAACAACGTTGTAAAGATTGGGAGTGTGTCGACGAGGGTTGCGTACCTTATACTCAGAATCACCAAACGGTATCGCGCTGTACGCTGAAGGCTGCGTAAACCTGTACGCTGAAGGCCGTACAGGTTTACGCACCAACTTCGGCACACCCCAATGAGGAGGTGGAGAAAATGTATGCGGATATCTCTAGAGCCATGCATTCCTCCAAAACCCACTATACGGTGTTAATGGGAGACTTCAACGCAAAAGAGCTGAAAGTAGGGAAATTCGGAATAGGGCAACGGAACCCAAAGGGCCAGCAGCTGGCCAAATTCATAGAGAAAGAGGGACTCTTTATGATGAGCTGTTTCATCCAGAAGCGACTCCACAGGAAGTGGACCTGGTTGAGCCCCGAAGGTTCGACAAAAAATTGGATTGACTTCATTATCACGACAAAACGACAATTGTTCAGTGACGTCTCAGTGATCGCGAGGGTGAAAACCGGCAGCGATCACTGAATGGTGAGAGGCACACTGAACCTAAACGTTAAGTTGGAGAGGTCACGTCTAATGAAGTCAACGATGTGTTCCCCTCGTGCTCTAATCCACTTTCACTACAAAACCGTTTTCAGTGCCTAGAAGATTGCAATACAGTAGACGATATGAATGACAAGCTCGTGGAAACTGTTCATGCGGTCGGAGCTAAGTTTTGCAAGACCCGCCGCAGAAGAACACAAAAACTCTCCGAATACACTCTTAATCGCTTGGCTGTTAGACAGGATATGAAGCTGCAGTCTTCAGTAGATGTGACAGCAAACAGGCAACTGAACAGACATATCTCCAAATGATTGCGGCGGGACTTACGCAACTTTAATACTGCTCGTATTGAAGAAGCGATTCAGCGGAACCAGGGCTCCAAAATCTGCTACAGATCTGTCTGCCAGAAAGAGCCAGAGTGACAGCGTCGTTTTCGGGACACCTGAGATTTTGAGTGAGATTGAGAGGTTCTATGGGCAGCTATACACATCATCGTTGGAGCCACACTCAAGTGTGAGTAACGATCCAAAAGCAAGTCTTATCATACACTATTCCGATGATATCCCGGACGTCAGTCTGAGCGAGATTAGAATGGCTCTCCAGCACATTAAAAACGGCAAGGCCCCAGGCGAGGATGGAATTACAGCGGAGCTTCTGAAAGCGAGTGGACAACTGGTACTTGAAGTCCTTCAGAAGCTCTTTAATTCCGTCCTCCATGATGTCATTACACCGGAGGCGTGGAGCAGAAGTGTGGTGGTCTTGTTCTTCAAGGAAGGTGACAACGCTCTCTTGAAGAACTACAGACCGATTTCCCTTCTGAGCCGCGTCTACTTGCTGTTTTCGAGAGTCATTACGAATCGTCTCACGCGCAGACTTGACGACTTCTAGCCTCCCGAACAAGCCGGTTTCCGAAAAGGCTTTAGCACCATAGACCACATACATACCCTTCGGCAAATTGTACAGAAGTCCGAGGAGTACAATTTGCCACTATGTCTAGCATATGTGGACTATGAGAACGCCTTATATGAGAAAGCCTTTGATTCTGTCAAAATTTGGGCAGTGCCGCAGTCCTTTCAGCGGTGCCAAGTTGACTGTCGGTATATCGAAGTGCTGAAGTGTTTGCACAGTAGGGCTACGATGGCTATCCGAGTACAGAACCAGAGTACGAAACCTATCCAATTTTACGGTGGTAGAGCCACGCAGCAGTTTTTGCTGTTGCATGTATGGGCCGGCTCGAGCCGGGTTGGGGTACCAGTACCCCTGGAGAATCCCTCGCTGAGCATCCACGACCATGTTATTTCAATCCCGAGCGTGGGTGCTCAGGCTGCCCCGCGTATTCTTGGGGGAAATTCCGCTCAAAACATAACTGCTCGGGGCAAACTGAGCAACAATACCAAGGCGACCCCTGCCACGCTATCCGTGAATTTCTGCAACATCAGGGAACTTCACTCTAACCTAAACGCCCTCCACTACCATCTTGAGACGGCGAAGCCGGCCTTGCTCTTTCTGACCGAGACGCAGGTTTCCTCTCCGGCTGATATTTCGTATCTCTCCTGCCCGGGGTACAAATTGGAGCACTCCTTTGTGCCTC